CGTACATTCGCTCGGTTTTCGTATAGTTGACAATGGTCCGTACCAAACGTGTCTGCCTCTTTGCACCCACACAAAGCATCCCACACGTTCTGACTTGGTCTGGCGTTGTTTCTCGTTGAGTGAACATTACCCCTTGTGTTCGGATAACATTTCGTAATACTCCATTGTTTTTTTTGTGCTTCTTCATTGGGTGCTATTGCTAAATAAGCCACCATGGGGCCAAAGAAAGTTCTGAGTGCCAGCTCTTTGATAAAAAAGGCGAGAAACACGATAGAATTCAAGAAAGAACTCATAGCAAAGCACGAAAGTGGTGTATGTATGGCCGATCTCGCCAGGATGTACGGGAAGTCCGCATCAATGATCAATTCCATCCTGGCGAAGAAAAAAGAAATCAAGGAAGCTGATGTTGAGAAAGGATTAAATGTGCTAACGAAACAGAGATCGCAAACAATTGAAAATGTTGAGTTGGTGTGTATCAACGAAAAACAATTAGCGGGAGATAGTGTTTTGGTGGAAGAGTTGGTGGATGACCACAGGGAAGAGTTAACCATTGAAGAACTGCAAGACCTTTAACTGGAACAGCAACAGACTGTAGACGGGTCAAGTGACTCTCCAGCTAGTCCTAGTGCCAGTGAAAGACAAAGAAGGGAAGTAACCCCAGATAGGGCCTTGATACATGAAGTCCTTATGGAGTGAGATATCCCTTCCAAACAATAACCTTTCCTCCTCCCTCTCCCCTCTTCGCCGTCTTCCATATGCCAACAAGTTTTCAATAAAGGTAAAAGTTATGTTAAATGTTCATTTATCCATTTCATTAGTCATTTATATTTATTTCTCATTGTTTTCTGTATGTAAGACTATAGTTCTTCTCTATAAAATGTGTTTTTTGTTAATATTTTTGGGTGTCTGGAACAGATTAATTGGATTTATATTATTTCTTAGGGGAAATATTGCCTCAGTTTTCATACAATTCGGTTTTTGTCAGACTTCCTGGAATTAATTAATCACAAAAACCGAGGTTCTACTGTACTGATTAGAGAATATGAAAACATTGATCTATTGGCAAAATTGAGGATAATTTTAAATATTGTAGTGTGCAATATTGGATGATGTCATGTTCAAGGAACAGTGTTACTGTCACACTCACATGGCAGTAATATTCAGAATAACAAACTTCTAAAAAGTATAAAGCAAAAGATACAGAACCAGGGATAATACTCTTTAAGGCACTTGCACTCTTTAGACTGGAATATTGCTGTACACTAGCAGCTCCTTTTAAAGCAGGTAAAATTGCATACCTGAAGAATACATGGAGAACTTTCACTGTCTGGACAGTTTCAAATATCTATGTTTTTGGGAACACCTAAGGTCATCTAAACTGTGCTGCCTGGAATGCAGGAGAGAGAATTACTGGAGAGACTTTTTCCCACCTTGCAAGCAGAAATTAGTCCTTAGGAGAACGAGGCTAAGGGTGTGCTGATAACTCCCAGTAAACTGGGAGCTATCAGCACACCCTTAGCAGCCTTCAGAAGGAAACTCAGCAAATTCCTCAGTTCTATTCCTGATCAGCCTACCTATGTTGAACGGTGTACCATGAGCACCAACAGTTTTGACTGAGCAGGCATCAGCCAGGAGGCCTGGTCTGAGATCCAGGCATGGGGTGATTTCTCAAGCCATCAACAGGTAAATAACAGGTAGCCTAGTAGACCAGCTAGAGCAGCAGTTACAATGTCTGTGGTTGAGAGTTTGCATGTCTACTTTTTGGCTGGAATCTGACAACATCTGCTAGTAGAACATATGATGTTTTGAAGGGATAAAATGCTTACGATCAAATAATTTCTTAATATTGTACAGTAGGTGGGTCTTGTGCACAGTATATTATTCAGTCTGTGTAGGTGAATGGTTGGGTAAATGGCTTTGTGGTGTAATTTATCAAAATTTCATGTTGTACAGGTAAATGACAAATTTTTCAGTCAGGTCATTGTAAACAATAAATACATATACATATAAATTATTTTCTTGAGTTTTTATCACTATACTGGGGTGCTTATCTCTATAATAGCAATCTTTGTGTTCATATAATATGAATTGAATGTCAGATTACTGATGAATGCATTAAAAGATACGGTCAGCAAAGTACACCTTTACTGGACAACATTTTACTCATTTTAGCTCAAGCAAGTTCTGCAAAGAAAAACAAAACTAGGACTTAATACATCACAGCAAATGAGATATTGGAAGGTGTAGTAGGGACATGTTTATGAAGGTGGATGCCCCTCATGTGGGGGGTTCTTGATAAAAGGAATTGGATCTATCGTTCCTTTCCTTGGATTGAACTTAATTGCCTTCCATTTCCCCTAGATGTACTAAACCCATAGGGGTTTAGCGCTTCTCCCAGGACTAATAATGTGGAGATGGCATTGTGCAAGAGTTGGTGCAATGCTGAAGACTCCTTGATTCTATTCATTGGTGCTCCCTCTTTTAAATCTACTTCTAGGCATTTACTCCTTGTTCATCTTAACTCTGTAATTACCAGTCTTTTGATGTTTGATATGAAGTGTGTGAATTAATCATGATGAATGACTTGGCCATTGCTAAACCTACAGTATCAGCATTGCATATGTAACATATGATAAATTCTCATACTTCATGTTAAGGAACAACACTAGGTTGGCAGTGAAGGAGGACAGTAGTAATGAAAATATGCTTAAAACCAGCTCAAACAGAATCTGGAAACTTCCAGCATCACATCATCTGTGCAACTCATTCTCCAAAGACATGGATCAACACCTGATATGATGTGACTCCTTGGTCCATCTGGCACTAGAATACCTTCCAAAACCTCATTCCTTATGTGATGGTATATATGTTGTGTTTATTATATAGGGCTTAATAAAGCTCACACTTGAGTGAATTTTTGTCAGAGGTTCACTTTGCTAACAATCTTTGTTTGATGCCATTGTAAAACTAGCTGAAGATGTCAATGGATAGTAGACAGTTTCATGTCTTTCAAACTGCTGTGCCAGCTGCATGGTAAGCTCAACTAATTTGCATGCTTGAAGAAACAAAAATTTTCATGGGTCCCTTGTTAACCTTCTCTCCAAATGTAAAGAGGGGTAGAAATAATTTAATTCTCTACATTTTGTGAGCACGTTTGAGAGCTAACCATGCATGGTGGTAAATGTGTCATCATTGTCCTGCCAATTATAATGTACATAATTAAAATTTCATATTATGATTAAGGAATATATTAAGTTGGTATGAATTTTTCATAGGTTGAATAGGATAATAGATTTAAATACACTCCTTTTGCAAAAATTATGTGAATATTATACAGTACAACATTACTAATATTTATTTGGACTGCAAGATTAATATATTACAAAAATCTGTGAATTAAAAAAAAAAAAAAAAAAAAAAGGTTCACATCCGATGAAAAGTTCATACTGAAATGTGCAGTGTTAAGAAGTTGTACAATAAGTTATACTTCATTGTGGGTTTCTGAACAGGTGGAAATATATTTCGGATAAAAATTTGATAAGATGGGAAATTCTGTCTCTGATCTTGGGTGAGGTAGTAGTTACTGTAACTGACTAGCATTTATGTGGTGGGTTATTGAGTTGTTTGTGGTCTGGAATTACCATCTGATCAAAGATTTATCTTGAGCATCATAGAATATCTCTTGAAAACTATTTCTTTTTGATACACAAACATGCATCTCTGTTCCAGGCATTCACTTATTTCTTATAAAATCAGTTATTGTATTGTTGACTTGCATTTTCTATCGTGTCTCCTAATGTGATTAAATCATGTAAACTTAAGCCACCTATATGTACAGATAATCTGAATGTACAGAATAATTGTGCTCAGTTTTTGTAACAAAAAAATTAATTGGGTGTTGGATCATTATTTAGTTGGTAGATAAAGTAAGAGGAAGGTGGCATACAAAGAGAATGGTGTTGCTGTTTGACACTGAAGTGAAAGAGAATGAACTAAGGAAAGGCTTAGGGAGACTTATGAGCAAAGCTAGGAGAAACAGAACATGAAGGGAGGGTGAATAGTCTATAGTTGAAGGAAAGTGGGATAGAGGTCACCTTAGGAAAGGTTGGAGAGAGGGGGTAAAGGTGGTTTTGTGTGCGAGGGGCTAGGACATCCAGCAGGTGTGTAACAGCATTTTATATAGGAGTGAGTGGAGGCACATGGTTTTTAGGACTTGATGACATTATGGAGTGTGAGCAAGGTAATATTTTGTAAAGGGATTCAGAGAAATTGGTTAGCTGGACTAGTCCTGGAGGTGAGAAGTACAGTACAGTGGAGCCTCAAATATCGAACTTTCTTCGGTCCAGAAGGCTGTTCGAGTGCCTTTACCGAATGAATTTATTCCCATCAGGAATAATGTAAATTAGATTAGTCCATTTCAGACCCTCAAAAATACACTTATAAAAGCACTTACAAAAATACACTTACATAATTGGTCGTGTTGGGAGCAGTTCGATTTTTGAGGTTCCACTGTACCTACAATCTGAAGGAGGGGTGGAGATGTGTGCAGTTTGGAGGGGCATCTGAGCTGTAGTATTGGTGTGTCTGGCAAGACTATGATGGAGTGAATGATAGTGAGGGTGTTTCTTTTTCGGGTCGCCTTACCTCGGTGAGAGATGGCCAGTGTGTTAAAATTATACGTATACATATATCAATAACAACACTGCACTAGCCAAGGACTCGAACCCATGCTGCTTTGGCCTGCCTCATGGTGGGCGAAAACACATGATGCCCTTATCCACTGAACCATATAGTGCAGTGTTGCTATTGATCAGTACCACTCGTTCGTGGTCACAGTAATGTACACATATATGTGAGAGATGGCTGACGTGTTGGAAAAAAGGTATATGTATTGTATGTAATATTGTATATAATACACAACACTATATTTGAGTTTTATTTATTTTACATTTTTTTTTCTTGGTAGATTATAATTGACAGGTATTCATGCGTATTTTCAGGTCTCGGCCCTTTCTTCTACAACCACTGGTCAGTCTACAGGAATTCCTGGTCTTAATGGCAAGCGACTTCTGGTGAAAATTGTTAAGGCAACAGGCGTTGGCTGTGAGAATTGTGAGTGAATGTCGTTTGTGTTTAAAGTTTTGTAAAGAGGTTGATAAGTTTTGATGCCTGATGATATGATAGGATCACAGCCAGAACACTTTCATGCACCCATTTAGGCTATTGATGTCAGCTAGTTCTGTTTAAGTTATACATGGTACAACTTAAACAGACCTAGCTGACATCAGTGGCATACTATATAGAAAGCCCCTGGTTATGTAGAGCATTTCAGGCAACTTAAGTTAATTTTGTCCCCAGGATGCGACCCACACCAGTTGGCTAACACCCAACTTAAGTCTTAAGGCAATGCAACCAGTGTTTCCACCCATACTGGGGATCAAACCATGGAGCTGAATGCCCTAACAACTGAACTATGGGACACTTAGACCTTATGACCAAAGCCTTGTAATGGCAGTTCAGTAGCTGACTAGCCACTTGACACCCAGTGTACAACAGTTGGAGATGGTGGTCATCTTTGTGGGGTCATTAGGCCCTGATGCATTTTTTTTTCCAACAAGTCAGCCATCTCCTACTGAGGCAGGGTCACTCAAAAAGAAAGACAATCCCCAAAAAGAAAATACTTTCATCATCATTCAACACTTTCACCTAACTCATACATAATTACTGTTTTTGCAGAGGCACCCAGATACAACAGTTGAGAAGCATATATAAAGATATATAACATATCCCTCCAAACTGCCAATATCCCAAACCCCTCCTTTAAATTGCAGGCATTGTACTTCCCAGTTCCAGTACTCAAGTCCGGCTACATAAAAATAACTGGTTTCCCTGAATCCCTTCACTAAATATTACCCTGCTCACATTCCAACAGCTCGTCAGGTCCCAAAAACCATTCGTTTCCATTCACTCCTATCTAACATGCTCACACATGCTTGCTGGAAGTCCAAGCCCCTCGCCCACAAAACCTTTACCCCCTCCCTCCAACCTTTTCGAGGACGACCCCTACCCCGTCTTCCTTCCCCCACAGATTTATATGCTCTCCATGTCATTCTACTTTGATCCATTCTCTCTAAATGACCAAACCACCTCAACAACCCCTCTTCAGCCCTCTTGACAAATATTTTTATTAACTCCACACCTCCTAATTTCCACACTCCAAATTTTCTGCATAATATTTACATCACACATTGCTCTTAGACAGGACACCTCCACTGCTTCCAACCGCTTCCTTGCTGCAGCATTTGCAACCCAAGCTTCACACCCATATAAGAGAGTTTGTACCACTATACTTTCATACATTCCCTTCTTTGCCTCCATCAGTAATGTTTTTTTTGTCTCGACATATACCTCAACGCACCACTCACCTCTTTTTCTTCATCAATTCTATGGTTAACCTCATCCTTCACAAACCCATCCGCTGACAAGTCAACTCCCAAATATCCGAAAACATTCACTTCTTTCATACTCCCTCCCTCCAATGTAGTATCCAGATTTTCTTTATCTAAATCATTTGTTACCCTCATCACTTCGCTCTTATCTATACATGTACTCACTTTCAACTTTCTACCTTTACACACCCTCCCAAACTCATCCACTAACCTTTGCAACTTTTCTTTAGAATCTCCCATAAGCACAGTATCATCAGAAAAAAGTAACTGTGTCAACTCCCATTTTGTATTTGATTCCCCATAATTTAATCTCACCCCTCTCCAACACCCTAGGATTTACTTCTTTTACAACCCCATCTATAAATATGTTAAATGACCATGGTGACATTACACATCCCTGTCTAAGACCTACTTTTACCGAGAAGTAATCTCCCTCTCTTCTACACACCCTAATCTGAGCCTCACTATCCTCATAAAAACTCTCTACAGCATTTAGTAACTTACTACCTATTCCATATACGTACTTGCAGCCTCTGCCACATTGCTTCCCTATCCACTCTATTTTTTTTTAATTTTTCAAAAACTATTTCTCTGATGGGACCTTAATGACCCACTAGAAACTATGCTACCAGTACCCCAAATTATGATAGCGATGGCTTTAAAACTGAGGCTGGGATTGAGGACACAGAGATGGGAACTGTAGATTGGTCATACTTGAGTGGATGCTATGAGGTTCTAAAAGAATGTAAGGAAGAACTTAGCAAACCCTTTACTAATCTCTCTAACCTATCACTACAAACAGGTTTTGTACCAGATAAATGGGAAATGGCAACTGTGATACCCATTAACAGAGTGGGAGATAGGTCCTTTGCTTCAAATTATAGACCAATCATTCTAACTTCTTTTGTGGGAAAGTTGATGGAATCAATAATTGCAGATAAAATTCAAAAAGATGAGAAAGATGAGGTGAATCATAGAATTGATGAGGGGAAAAGGGTGAGTGGTGCACTTAGGAGTCTGTGGAGACAAAGAACTTTGTCCTTGGAGGCAAAGAGGGAAATGTATGAGAGTATAGTTTTACCAACGCTCTTATATGGGTGTGAAGCATGGGTGATGAATGTTGCAGCGAGGAGAAGGCTGGAGGCAGTGGAGATGTCATGTCTGAGAGCAATGTGTGGTGTGAATATAATGCAGAGAATTCGTAGTTTGGAAGTTAGGAGGAGGTGCGGGATTACCAAAACTGTTGTCCAGAGGGCTGAGGAAGGGTTGTTGAGGTGGTTCGGACATGTGGAGAGAATGGAGCGAAACAGAATAACTTCAAGAGTGTATCAGTCTGTAGTGGAAGGAAGGCGGGGTAGGGGTCGGCCTAGGAAAGGTTGGAGGGAGGGGGTAAAGGAGGTTTTGTGTGCGAGGGGCTTGGACTTCCAGCAGGCATGCGTGAGCGTGTTTGATAGGAGTGAATGGAGACAAATGGTTTTTAATACTTGACGTGCTGTTGGAGTGTGAGCAAAGTAACATTTATGAAGGGGTTCAGGGAAACCGGCAGGCCAGACTTGAGTCCTGGAGATGGGAAGTACAGTGCCTGCACTCTGAAGGAGGGGTGTTAATGTTGCAGTTTAAAAACTGTAGTGTAAAGCACCCTTCTGGCAAGACAGTGATGGAGTGAATGATTGTGAAAGTTTTTCTTTTTCGGGCCACCCTGCCTTGGTGGGAATCGGCCAGTGTGATAATAAAAAAAAAAATAAAAAAATTCAAAAGCCCCTTTGAAATAAATCATTTGATAAACGAATCTCAACTTGGTCTTACAAAGAGAGCTTTCTTGCCTTATGAAGTTACTAACCTTTCTCACAAAGGTTATTCAAAGTGGCAGACCAAGATAAAGATTTGATGTTGTGTATATAGACTTCAGTAAAGCCTTTGATAGTTTCACACGGGATACTGATTAAGAAAGTAGCGGCACAAGGCTTAGGAGGGGAAATTTTCTCTTGGGTTGAGGTATGGCTAATCAGTAGGCAACAGTTTGCTTTAATGGGGGGAAATCAGACTGGAGACTTGTTATGAGGGGTGTGCCACAGGGGTCAGGGATGGGATCATTATTGTTAACAATCTCTGACATTGATGAGGGAATAAATAGTGACATAAGAAAGTTTGCCAATAACACTAAAATAGGCTGTCAAATAATTTCTGATGTGGACACTAGAAAGCCACAGGATGCCCTGGATAGATTGATGTTGTGGTCAGAGAAGTGCCACAGGCATTTCACTGCAGACAAGTTGGGAAGTACTGGTTTGTCAATAGATGAGTGGAATGCACTCTCAGGTAGTGTCACTAAGGTACGAATTTTGGGTAACTTTAAATATAGGTTGGTGAGTACATGAGTGGGTATGGGTGAGCGTGAATTGGACCCTCCTAGCATTGGCCAGTAGGCCTGCTGCTGTGTTCCATAATTCTTATTTTATTGAGCTTTAGATAAGTGTTGTAAATAAAAATTAGTAATTAACACACAAAAAAAATACAATGTTTAATGATGCTTGCCTTGCAGTGGTGTCTGAGGCATACGCTGTGGTGGAGATGGATGAACCCCCTCAGAAATTCACTACTTCCATTATGAAAGACACAAGTTCCCCTTTTTGGGATGAACAATTCCTATTGTAAGTTAACAATTTTGATGACCGAGTTAAATTTCTAATTAATTTCTAGAAAAAAAATAATGGATTGTTAAGAACTTCTATAAATATTCTTCCTTATATTTTTGTTGTCATATACATCTCATTCTTATATTGTACCTAGTTTATAAATGACTGAATCATAATTTATAGAATATTATTAGTGTAACTTTGAATTAATTTGGAAACTTAAAGATACAGGATTTACCTTTGATGTACCTTTGAAGAGTTTCGAGAGTTTCACTACTTTTGGAGCCCGGCCATGGGCCAGGCTCGTCTGGTGCTTGCCCGGTCAACCAGGCTGTTGCTGCTGGACACCAGCTGCCCCACATATCCATCAGCCTGGTTGATCTGGCAAGGAAAACTTGCGTTTTCTTATATTTTGCTTCACTGTGGGTGCAACATGTACAATAAAGCTTTTCACCACTTGGTGTCTTTAAATTACCACTTGTAAGCTGATGCCATTCTGAATAAGTACAGTGTCTTGAGGGTTTAATATTTAGTTATGATTGTAATAAATAATAATAATAATAATAATAATAATAATAATAATAATCACAGTATGTTAATGATGTTCCAAGGAGCAGTATGTTAGTGATGATCAAGGGTTCTAGCTCTTGTTAAATAATTAATGTCAGGGGACTCATGGAGGCTTATCAGTTTTTCCTGTGTTCAGTTTTTAATTGGATGTGAATATTTCTTTGCTGGAAGTTCAGTTTTCATCCTTGTCTTAAGGATTTTTTTACCTCTGAAGTTTTTATTTTGCTTTTTCTTAGCGATCTTAGTGGTAGCACACTTGAACTTCTCTTTGAAGTATACGATAAGAAGAATGGAAAATTCTTGGGCCTTGGAATTGTTGGCATAGAAGAATTAGTTGCCACACCATCACAGAGACAAATCATTCCTCTTCAGTCTCGGCCATATGAAAATGATGAAGTGTCTGGGTCACTGACAGTAGAGGTGAGTCAAGCTTTCTTATTGATAGGACAATATATGCTACATGGTTAAGCTTTATAGAAAAAATGACTTTCTTTCTAAACATGTCCGGATAGCGGTACTTACTGCTATCTGGACATGTTAAGGTTGTAAGCCCTTACTGCCTAAAAGTTCTCTTCTATACTATGGAAAAGCATAGCATAATTCCTGATTACTGTTTTGCGAAGATGATTAAACATAAGAAATATAGCTAGGGAGCAAGTGAAGAATATTTTCTTCCTTGGGTCACCCTGTGTTGGTTAGGAAAACTGATTGTGTATGTTTCTGTGATGGGACTGTGGGGTGTCACAAGGAATGTCACACTGTTTTATGCTAAATGTTTATTTGTGCACTCAGTTTAAGCTGCCTCTGTCTCTGGTTGAAAAGGTGTGGTGACACCGACAAACTGATATCCTTACATAGATATGACTCCATTTTCAAAACTATACATATACGTAAAGCATCTGTTTATTATGCATCCCCTCTAATAATGCCCATTAATGTTGTCCTCCAGTTCCTGTTCTTGGATCGGGCTGACTTGCCTGAGCACACTCTTCGCTCTAGTGCCACGAGTCAGAGCATAACACCCAAAGGTGACCTCATAACTACAACTACTACCACATATGTCAAGGCTCCGGAATCACCAGGTATTGCAAGCATTTTTTTGAAATCTCTAGCTTATATACTTAAACTGTAAGCTTTATTTGGAGGTTGACTCGCAAAATTGTAATAACACGATTGCTAACGAAGGAGGTGTTTTGACAGAATGTTTTAATGAGTTATTAAAATTATGTATGTTTTTTTAAAGCCCTATTGTAGTCTAGATGCATACTTATACTTATTTCTGCTGTGGGCACTAGGGGCCCCACCTGGAATATGAACTCCTTCACACACAGAATACTTGCTTCTCTGGACCCCAGAGAAGCGAGTTTTGTGTAAAGTCCATGTACTCATTACTATATGCATTTTGTATTTGGTAATGGCCAATTTTGACTATCATCAGGTGTTCATTTATTATGACTGACATTACCTGAGGCTTCCACAATGATCTGGAATCCAACTGTCACCTTTACACCATGTCAGCAACACTCATTTTCCTCTTTTCATGGATACTTTTTTTCTCTGGGCTCATGAGGCCCCTTTTGACTGACTAAAATATTTGTGGCAGCTCCTTTTGCTCCCAGAGATGTTCTTTTGAGGATTGACATTCACTTCACCAGGCACATGAGACTTTATAATCTTAGTATGTGATCTGCCTTGCATTGGGCTTTGGTGCCCAATTTTCAGTGAGCTAAAAGGAACTTAAAGCTATACATGTTTGTATTTTCTGTCAAGTCATGCAGTCTTGGCTGAGCTTCACCTTGGCTTGAAGACCTCTGCTGCTCTCCTCTCCACTGCACAGATGGTCAGCAAGAATTCATTGATCTTTTTTTTTCACCTGGTTACATCAGTACCATGAAAAATTGACTGCTGCTGCACTTTTAGGGATTGCAGAAGTGGGAACTTCATCGGAAGGTGATTGGGTGATGTAACCTAAACATCTCTGCACAGTGCCACTTCAGCCATTGTTACATAGACCAAGTGTTGGTACTTAAATTGGTAGTCGCACCCTCATTACCACACTGTAGGTGCATCACACATGCCATGTGGTTTATAGAAAGTTTTTGAGGTGATTATTTGGGATTCACGCTTTTTCCTGGCCTCCAAAGTCAGTGCAGTAATCTGTACATTTTTTCCGAATTCCCTGCCTATCCGAGCCTGATTCACCTGTAAGCTATGGTATTCTTCCCATTTAAACATTCAACACCCTGCTTTTGCCAGTGAATGAGAGTTTACAGGTCAGAGGAATCTCAGGTGGATCATCTAAGCATGCATATAGAGTGGGCCTCTGTATGAGATTATGCATTTGTGTTGACTTGTTGGTTTATTTACTTGTATGTAATGACAATGTTTTCTAGTCTTGTAGGATGCTATTAGTTTGGTGTATTATGTTTTGGTGTGGGCTTTGCTCAGGGTTAAGTACAGAGATCGTTTTGGATGACATTCCAACGTGATCATTAAGTGTCCAGTGAAATCTCCCTATGCTTCCAGGATTTGTCTTTAGGATGATTGACCTGCATAGATTCCACCAGGACCTCACAGCAGAAAACTACATTTTGAAACTAGAAAGATGCATTTGTGTAATAGGTGCCCTGGGGAGTCTGGGAACCCCTTAGTTTCCACCACCTGCCCCCAGCTATTGTTTTGGCCGACTTCTGGTATCTGGATCATTATGAGAGCATCGGTCGATGTCAGTCATAGCAAGTGATTAACACTAGGTGATTGAAGTTGAGGAAGGTCATTACTAAGCACATAGTGCATGTAATAACCTTACTGGTGCTCAGAGCAGTGAGTATTGTGAATGAGGTATGATGTATTCAAAGTGGGTTTCCTAGGGCTTTTGACAAAAGTGTATCATTTGGGGTTTTAAATGCAATTTTGTTCTGAGAGAAATGTTTTGAAGACAGAGACTTATTAGTCTGTCCTAAACCATGTTTATAGTAAGGATCCCAGTAGAAACAAAGGTGAAACAGGCACCTAAACATAAGGACAATCCTCTCTGATCTCAAATGCTATAGATTGATCAGTGGTTCTCAATTTTGTTTTAAATACAGTAAATTCTCAATTTTAGACCTTGATTTGATGGGCTTTAGGACCACAAGACAAAATGGTTGGTCATTTGTTTTGGAAACTATGGATAGTCCATTGGTTACAGAATTGTCAGTTATTTTTTAAGAGTGTAGAAAAACACTTGTCTCCATCCACCACAATCATAATTTCTGACCATTTGCTCCTCCCCTACTAGTTCATTAAATCAAGGGTGTATTAAACTGTACTAAACAAATAGTTATATAAACTAATGAAGTGCATTAGTACAAAATCTTTATACTGTAGTATTATTTTAACATCCATATTACTTTGTATTTTGGGCAAAGCTAAAGCAAGACAAAATTTAATTGGAAATATATGAAATTATAGTTTATAATTTCATGTATTGAAATTATACTTGCTGGTATTTTGTCAGTTATTATTTTGTCATATCATTCATAGATTCGTGTGCATTATACTTAAAATTCTTTTTATTGATTCATGTGCATTGTTTATGGCAATTATGCTAATTTATTAATTCTTCAACTTAGACGGCTAATCAGATGTAGGTAACAGTCAGGTAGTACTATGCAATAAATTGGTTATCCATAGATTGTAAGTTGCTTCACCAGAGCACTTTGCACTTTTCCTACTCATTTTACTTTTTGCATTGCCAGAACAATATTTTGTATTTGTTATTTAGTATCTGATATATTGCAGTTAAATGAGATCTTAGATTCTTTTAGCCAGTGGAACTTGTTGCTAGCATCTTAGAAAGTTAGGCTCCTGTGTTTGATGTGAGTTACAGCTAATGAGTCTGTTGAACCAGTTGTTGCTGGAGCTGGAGATTCAAGCCCAGGAACGTACAGGCGCAGAGAGTCGTACCGCAAGGCCAACAATATTCGTTCAGGTGTGCAAGTACTGGTGCGCAACTAGAGAAGAATTTTAGTCCAGTAACTAGTGGGACAGCTCTTGCCATTACACTTCTCAAGTGTTAAATATATTAGTTTTCAGAATTCTATTTGGAATGTGCTTCAGATTTGTTTCTCTATTTCATCACCTTGCCACTCATTGTAAATGTATGAGATGGATGAGGTTATAGTCTTTTGAAATATTTATCTAGTTGTTGCTTGCTGTTTTAGACAAGGTAGAATTTGAGTGTTGTTGTAGAATATAGTAGTATTTGGTATCTGGGTAAAAATTTCTTGCATTTTTAAGAAACGCTGGACTTCTCATGCTCAGTAGTTGGTTAATATAATGGCTGTAGATAGTACAGTATATGCACTTATGTGAAGAGGATACAAACATGTGTGTTAAGGTATTTTACCATCATTCACTCCATCACTGTCTTACCAGAGGCCCACCGATACTACAGTTTAGATGCCTCATGAAGCTGCAAATATCCCCACCCCTCCTTCAGAGTGCAGGCACTGTACTTCCCACCTCCAGGACTCAAGTCAGGCTAACCGGTTTTCCTAAATCCCTTCACACATGCTACCTTGCTCACACTCCAGTAGCCCAAGTCCCCAAAAACCATTTGCCTCCACTCACTCCTAACATGCTCACACACTCGTAGTGTATGTCCAAGACCCTCTCTCACTAAATCTCCTTTACCCCATCCCTCCAAATTTTTCTAGGGCTTTTCCTGCTATGTCTTACCTTCACTGTAGTTTTATATACCCTACCAGTCATCCTATTTTGCTTCACGCTTTCTAAATGTCCAGACCACCTCAGCAACCCCTCCTCGGCCCTCTGAATAATACTTTCATGAGAATGATAGTTTGTCATATCAGTGTGAATATTCATTACTTAATCCAAGGCAGTGACAGGAATTCAAGGCCTTTATTATTTCTTTAGATGTTTTGGACATGTATTGGTAGCTGCTGATGTTATGGGACTCTGGGATGATGTTTGTAAAATTTGGTCCTACTGTAGAGAAGGTGTTGTTAAGTGTTTGTAGCAAAATTGGCTTAAATATTCTTCTTTCAACAAACCAGCTGTGTCCCACCGAAGCAGGGTAAGGCTTTTGATAGAGTTCCGCACCATAGACTTAACCCTTTGAGGGTCGACAGGCCCTCTCCGAAACTCGTTCTCAGGGTCGGCCAAATTTAAAAAAAAAAAAAATTATTTTCTCTTATGAAAAGATAGAGAATCTTTTCCCGATCATAAAGACACCAAAAGTTTGAAATTTGATAGAAAATTTACGGAATTATGCTCTCGCAAAGTTAGCGGTCTTGGCGATGTTTACGCATCAGCGATTTTGCCCACTTTGAGCCCCATTTTCGGCCAATTTCACTGTACTAGTCGACAAAAAACATGAATATTTCGCTAGAACTCCATTTTTTCTATCGAATGGGTGCAAGAAACCACCCATTTATGAAATTCAACTATCCAGTACAGTGGTCAGAATTTAGCAATTTTGCCAATTTCACACAAATTTCAAAAGATGCCAATTTCCGAATAGGGTCCAGAATAAACAAGAAAGACATTCCTGGCACTAAAATGACATTTCCTCTAGTCATTAGTCACATCTCAAGGCCCCTCTTATATTCTTTTGCTTTCCACTTTGAATTTTTATTCTCACAAAAAATATAAGATTTACTGTTATGCAGACTACTGCATTAGTGTAAAAAATGGTATAAATATTATTGGTGCACTTGTGAAAGAATATTAGACTCACCAGTTGACGTGTATTGCACGCTTGACACGATTTGTTTACTTTTGAAGTTTGGTAAAAATCGAACATTTCTGCTACTTTGAGCTCAATTTCAAGGCACCTTTCATTGTAAAACCAGTCAAAATCATCTCAATTTCTGTAATATGTCTTCCATTCTATAAAATGAGACCAAGAAAACTAGAATACAACAATAAATATCATACGAAAATACACTGCAAAGTCGCTGATTTATTCCAAAAAAATGGTAAAAGTTTTTTTTTTCTCATTATGCACTGTGTGCTGCAGGATTTTTTTTAGACTGTGCACACTGACCACATAGACCCATTCTTTCATATGAAGGCCTACCAGCTTACTCCCACTAGATTTGAGGCCGCTAGAATTTATGCGTACTAGTACGTCAAAAACCCCTACGCGTAAGACGTACTAGTACAACCAAAACCCTCAAAGGGTTAAAGAAAGTGGCAGCTCATGGCATTGGGGGAAAAGTGCTGTCGTGGATCGAGTCATGGCTCACTGACAGGAAGCAGAGAGTGTCCATAAATGGGGTTAAATCCGAGTGGGGATCTGTAACAAGTGGCGTTCCACAGGGATCAGTCTTGGGCCCGTTGTTGTTTATAATATATATCAATGATCTTGATGAGGGAATTACTAGTGATATGAGCAAATTCGCCGATGACACAAAGATAGGTAGGATAATTGATTCAAACGTAGATGTTATGGAACTTCAGGAGGATTTAAACAAACTCTGTTCTTGGTCAGAAAAGTGGCAGATGCAGTTCAATGTAGATAAATGCAAGGTTCTGAAGCTTGGGAGTGTCCATAACCCTAGTACTTATAAGTTAAATGATGTAGAACTTAGCCATACAGATTGCGAAAAGGACTTGGGGGTTATGGTGAGCAGCAACCTTAAACCAAGACAGCAATGCCTAAGCGTACGTAATAAGGCAAATAGATTACTGGGATTTATATCAAGAAGTGTAAGCGACAGAAGTCCAGAGGTCATACTGCAGCTTTATACATCATTAGTAAGGCCTCACCTAGATTATGCAGCTCAGTTCTGGTCTCCGTATTACAAAATGGACATAAATTCGTTAGAAAACATTCAGCGTAGGATGACTAAATTAATACATAGCATTAGAAATCTTCCTTATGAAGAAAGATTGAAGACTCTTAAGTTACATTCACTTGTTAGACGAAGAATGAGGGGAGACCTGATCGAAGTGTATAAGTGGAAGATAGGTATTAATAAAGGGGATATTAATAAGGTCTTGAGGATGTCTCTCCAAGAGAGAACCCGCAGTAATGGATTTAAATTAGATAAATTTAGATTTAGAAAGGACATAGGAAAGTATTGGTTTGGAAATAGGGTAGTTGATGAGTGGAACAGTCTACCTAGTTGGGTTATTGAGGCTGGGACTTTGGGTAGTTTCAAATCTAGGTTGGATAAGTACATGAGTGGGAGGGGTTGGATTTGAATGGGACTTTCACATCAGAGCTTATTTCTTGGGTGGCATTGAAAATTGGGTTGGGCAAATGTTTTGTTAGTGGGATGAATTGTAAAGGACCTGCCTAGTATGGGCCAGCAGGCCTCCTGCAGTGTTCCTCCTTTCTTATGTTCTTAAAAGTTTCTCTTTTAACTTTAGTAATAAATACAAGAGAAGGGGTTACTAGCCTCTTGTTCCTAGCATTTTAGTCGCCTCTTACGACATGCATGGCTTACGGAGGAAGAATCCTGTTCCGCTTCCCCATGGAAATAAGAGGAAATAAACAAGGACAAGAACCAATAAGAAAAATAGAAGGAAACAAGAGGGGTGTGTATATATATGCTTCTACTAGCATGTGTAGTGTGACCTAAGTGTAAGTAGAAGCAGCAAGACATACCTGAAGCCTTGCATGTTTATGAGACAAAAAAAGACACCAGGAATCCTACCATCACATAAAACAGTTACAGGCTTTCGTTTTTTTCACTCATGGCAGTACCTCCCTGGGGGGCTGCTGTCTACCAACTTACTACCTTGGTGGCTTAAATATTCTTTTTATTAAGACATTGGCCATCTCCCACCAAGGCAAAGGGGCCTGAAAAAGCAAAACTTTCATCATCATTCACTCCATCGCTGTCTTACCAGAAGTGCACTTACACTACAGTTAAAACTGCAAAATTGACACCCCCCCCTTCAGAGTGTAAACACTTTATTTCCCATCTCCACGACTTAGGTCCAGCCCGCTGGTTTCCCTGAATCCCTTCATAAATGTTACCTTGCTCACACTCCAACAACACATCAGTTCCTAAAAACCATTTGTCTCCACTCACTCCTATCTAACATGCTCATGCATGCTTGCTGAAAGTCCAAGCCCCTCACACACAAAACCTCCTTTACCTCCTCCCTCAAACCTTTCCTAGGCCAACCCCTATCCCACCTTCCCTCCACTACTCTCGAAGTCATTCTATTTCCTTAAATATATTAAGTAAAAATTCATTGTTGGCACTAGAAAGAGAAGTTGGTAAACTCATATGCATTGCAGAACTGGATTTTTTTTTTTTTTAACATCAACTATATATTTCCCACCAAGGCAGGGTGTTACGACTTGCACTATGCTGCAACAATAGGGGGAATAAATACTTAGTTTTACTTTTGGTTAGTTTTATTTACTACCAATTATGAACCTTTATCCAGTTAGTGAATTAAAATGACAATTCACTATTATCAATGAAACGAGACTGTACAATGAGGAACGTAATTCTATGTTCAAATCCTCGTGAATGAAGCATAATATAACAATTACTCCATGTTCAAATACCCATGAATCAAGTATAATACAATAATTACAATGAAGAGTCCAAATAAGAACTATTATAGGAACTTTAAGGAAGTCAGTCAGTTATCCTTCTTAAAGAGAAGGGTTATCAGACTCTTGGAATTAACAGCAAAGTTAAAACAATAGACACAATCTAGAATTATTGACCAAGTTAAGATCTCTGGGTTGAAGACTCGATCAGAGTCAGTGCTATGATCTGACTGCCGGTTCAAATGCTCAGTGGTCTGACGTCAGGTCGGTCAGGAGGTAGCGCTAGACGCCAATTAAGGAGCCATCAACCGGACTCTAAAGTAGTGGTTTCTCACTTGCATAACAGAACGCAGTAATCAACTTACTACTGTATAATACAATATAATATAATAATGCCTAACAAATAACATTTTATTGAATACAACCTTGCTTGAGAGTGCCTTTGA